CTTAGAGTGGCGTGTTTTCATTCATTCGGACGACATGACCTAGTAGCCTCTGCCTGCCTCTTAATTCGCTGAACTATATCAATGTCGTCGTATATCTCGTAATGCTCATCGATCCATCGACTGTGGCAGTTGCTGTTGCCCATGTGCAAAGGACCATAAATCTATTTATAAATCGTCCGCAAAACCTTTCCCACGAGAACGAGGATGGAGACATGTGTAGAAATTCACGCAAGTGAGGAAATTGATCTGAGTGCCAGCGTAAGAAGGCGAAACATTCCTCCCCATGGCTGTGCGCTGGGCTTTGGACCCAGCACGTCAAAAAATCCGCAATGAATATGAGAAAACAGCCTTGGATGGCATCCCCCTCTTTTGATGACGACTACTGCAAATGTACTAAAAGATATCTCGTCTGGTGAAAAAGTTTTCCATACAAGCACTTGATTCCGATCATTCCGTTTGCATTGCAGCTACTTATATGCTAGAGGGGTCCGATTTGAGCATTGTAACGCTGATTTAGATAATAAAACATTGCAACTTCGTGAAGATTACTTGAGAAATAAATGTTTCATTGTGAAAAAAGGACATGTGCAAAATTTCAGATCGATATCTCCACGGATAAATTGACTCACCTCGTCATTTTAATCATTTATGTATGGCTTTTATAGAGTCTTCGACGCCTTCTTCTTAAAAAGAAAAACTCCATGGTATACTAAATATATTCTTAATTTTGTGCTGGAATTGGACAATAATTTGTATGGCGCAGTTTTGAAGAGATAAATTCAAGCGCTATTGAAAGGTATTTGAAGAGTCTAGAGAACAAGATCTATTTTCTCATTACCTTCGAATTGTATTGAAAAATGCTCTATTATGAAAGCATAAAGGAGTTTTAAGTCCTCTGCTTGTCTAGTCGAGTCGAGACACCAACCGCAAATAGAAATAGAAACTAATCAGATCTTGAGAAAGTAAAAGCTTTTTTCTTAGCTCGAAAATACATATATTGCACCTACTCATAACTAATATTGGTCTAATTCCATTTTTTAAATCTTCATGAAGCCAACGGAGTGGTCTAGGTTGTGTCATTTATTTGTGTTATGTCAAGAGTGAAAAAAAAACTTAAATTTGTCTTGAGAGGTATTGGACCAGCAAATAATAAGGCCCATTGTGGGGTGCAAAAATACTTCCCCGGTAGCTTCTCGAAAAAAGGTAATCACTCCGTCCATCAAATAACAGAAATTTTAGATAAGGCTCTGCGTGATTTCACAGCCAGTCCGAATTGAGATCCTACGACGTTTTTTAGTTTGGTCTGTGAAGAGCATATTAGTTCCGTTCATGATAATATTACTGTCAGAATTACGATGGTCACACGAGCTGAAATTGATGTAAACTAAATTCATCTAGACTAATTTGTCGGAATCATGGCGAAAAATAAGTATTAATTATTTATATAATTTTTAAATAAAATCGCTGAGATAACATTCATGGACATTAAACTAAAGTTATTAGCGACGAAGATGAACGAAGGAATCTCCCAGCATGGGTCATGCATTTTGTTGGCCGCCATGATGGTTGTTTGTAGACGGAATATGTTCAATCTGGACATAAAACATGTGCTCCAACTCTAAGGAACCACTTTTTCTTTCGAGTGGAGGCTTTAGTTGTTGTTTGCTTATTTGTTCAATAATTTACTTACATGGTTAATTGGGTGACACTTAAGGCATTGCCATTCAAACTAAAATGTCTTTTCGAATCTTATTTAAATTTACTTTGAAATTACATACATAGATTGCTATAAACAAATAACTTCCCTGTGAGTAGGATATATTTGGATATATCTGATGAATGGTATAAAAAACTTAAAAAAGTTTAGTTCTCTGAATAGTTATATTCAGTAGAATAATATTTGATGATAGCAAAGACATTAAGTTTCACTACATAACAATAGGTTGTCAAAAAAAGTCTTGCGGTATTTTTATTGAATTTTCAATTGTTCATAAAAAAATAATAATAATAATAAAACTCATGCCCAGCTCTTGACCGATGCTACGGCTGCTACTATGCCGGTCTCTTTCGACCTTGAAACCATCGTTGTACGGTGGAAATGGGTGTATCGGGTCCATAAACTGCACAAATTTTATTGACGGCTTGAGATGCATTTTTACTTTTATCGTAGTAGTACTGTAAAATATGCTGTATTTTCTCTTTATTTTGCTCCATGTTTGCGACGTTATAACTCACGAACGACTTAAGAGAAACAACAATCAATCAAACACGTGTTAGCGCGTGAAATGAGCTTTCCAAAAAGCTTTACAAAAGGTATAGCATGACCCGATGCGACGAATAAAACTAGAACTACGCGCTCTCAGCACCAACTAGCGAAAATACCGCAAGACTTTTTTGCTTTTTGACTTTAATCCCAAATAGGTTATTTTATGTTTGCCATGAAGTTGCTTCAAAATATATTTAATATATAAGGTAAGGTGTTCTAAAATGGGCGCAAGATTGGAACTAAAAGAATACACAGTTTTTAGTCTATCGATTGTAATTTTTTTGATCGAATCATAAAGTACAGAGGAATAAGACATGCGGCAAATGTTCCCCACCATGACTATTCTGCACAAAGCATGCGTAGTTGAGGACTTGGACTTGGATAGTCGAATAAAAATAAATTTAATGGTGGTTAATCACACGATCTAGGGGGCCAATTCTGATGGTCAATATAATCGGCCTACCGAGCGTACTATTCGCAACAACATCACCCATCTTGAAACTCAACAAACATTATTGGATAATATTTGAACGAATACCACATATTCAGCTCGCAGTGAAGAAAATATAGCAGTCATAGCTGGGAGTTCCAAGAAAATCCGACTTTTCGAGAGAAATTTTTTTCGGCGATGAGGCTCATTGCTGTTGCATAAGTATCTCGAATAAAGTAAAAATTGTAGATTAACTACTGTATTTATTGCTATACAATTTTTTTTCTTCCTTTTTCCTCAATTTGTGTCAAACATTGTGCCAATAAGCCGATTAGAGTAATTTTCGTCAACCATTACTGGTCGTAGCCGTCCACCATACATACTTGGTACAAGTATATATTTATATGTGTGTTTATTCATTTGTACTAGGATGTTATATGTTAGTACAACCAATTTTAGTCATTAAGCGTTATGTTAAGTGTTCTAATAATACAAAAATATGAAAACCAAATAATGCTAATATGATTGCCTGGCGGTTTTTATATGTACTAATATATATGTTGAGTAAATTTTGTCACGAGTGTTCAATTATAGATACAAATAAGCTAACAATATAGTTATGTACATATACATATGTATATGTGATATCTAATATACATATGTACCATATGTAAGTAAGTAGATGCATGGGCTGTAGGTATTAATTTGTATCTAAATTTTTTCAGAATTTCCAGCTCGTTAGTGCAAATAATGTTCGAGTCTCAATCACTGCGGTAGTATTGCAAGGCATCATATTCGACGCAAAAATGTTGCAATATAAGTATAAGCTCAGTATCTGCAGAAAAACAACACTATCGCAATATTGTCGCAGTAATTTTCTTGCTCGAACATCCGCATAATTTTGCTAAAATTTCCTTGTGATACAAAATTGATATAGCTTATTCGCATTTTATTAAATTAAAGGAAATAAAAAATAGTAAACTTTCAATTTTAACCCACAGATTTATTTTTATGCATATTTGAACTATTATACCAGTCGAGAATAAAAATCATATTTTTTTGCTTAAGGGAAATAGTTGCTGAGGGCGTATTCTGGAGGTTTCGGAAACAATTTGAGACTCAATGCATGGATTTTTGTCATCGTTTTCACTGCCTTGCATTGCACGGTGCATTGGCTTGGTGAAACAACACTTTCTCTTTCTTCAAATGTGTCCGATTTTCTTTGATTTCATCCTTCAAACATATCTTTTTCAAACGGTCAAATAATATGTTATAATCTGCCAGGTCCTTCCCAACTGATCATTCCAATAGAGTGAAGCTTCTTGCATCGAATACTCCGTGATTATTCCATACGCAGCCCAAAATACAGAGAATACAGACCGAATAACCTTGGCACCCGACAGTTGCTTTTTACCACGCTTTGAAGCGGATTTATCGTGTGCAGTCCAATGAGATGACTGTCGATTGTACTTCGGTATGAAATGAGCCATGTTTTTTCCAATATCACATATCGACATAAAAACTCTGGTTTATTAGTCTTGACCATCTCTAAACACTACTAAAAACCATCACCTCATCGTTGATTGAGTGAGGTCACGCGGTATCCACTTTGAACAGAGCTTTCAGTAACAACTTTTGATCGTTCACTGTGTTCATCGTCTTCAGTGCTCATTTCACCACGTCTCAACTTTGCATACCAATTCTTAATGGTAGAGTTTGCTGTATCAGTATACGGAAACTCGTCAAAAAGCCAAGGTTTTGTTTTACTGTATTTTTCTCCTTTGAAAACCACATTTTACCAATACGTGATGTTCGTTCTCATGCATTTTTTTCACAACAAAAGTTGATTCAAAAAACAAAAAAAAAAACAACATTCCTCCAACACAAAAAACTTTTTCAAAAAGTGATTCAAAAAATTCTCATAACTTTCACGAGCTTTTGCATTCAAGTTTAAACAAAAAAATTTAAATTTTATTCCTGAGAGTGATTTAAAAATTTCGTAGAACTTTCTCGAGCTTTTGTATGAAAGTTTCAGCAAAAAATTTGAGATTTTTTCCAGATTCCAAATTTGTTGGAAACTTATTCCGGTTACGGAATCCTAAAATAAGTTTTATACTCACAGTCGGGGTCTAAACACATACTTCTTTTTTCGGCACTCTGCAGCGACATAAACAGAAGGTCAGGACATGCGCAGCGAAAATTCGATCAGATAACGGTAGTGTATTTTAGAAAGTTATCTCATATTTATTGTCTCCTGCCTCGACATTTTCATTAAATTGTACTCGAAGCTTACAACAGGTGGCGCTGTGTTATAATTTTTGTTATATTGTGACTTTATTCAAAAAATAGTACTTTTTTTGTCTTTAATGCAGATTAATCATAAATAATGTGTTCCATTGTAAAACTTTTGCTGTGTCTTTAATTTAATGTCCAAGTAGTACTGAATCACTCATAAAGGCATAAAAAGTGGACAGCTACATATATTTGCATAACATGACAAAAATAAATTTAATTATACTTATATGTCAAGTAAAATGTTTAAATACATAAAGAAATGACCTTAATTTTCAACTATTATTTCAAAAAATATATGCACATACACATTTTCAGTTTCGAGTGCTTTAAAATATATTTAAAGCTTATGTATATATATTTTTCAGTTAATAAATAATAGTTTAGTTAAAACTTTTACACATTCTTGGTATAATTTTACACTGTTGAAGTTAATTTAAATTTTCATCGTTCAACAATAAATTAATATGCATATGTATATACTGTACTACATATAAATGTATATAAAGTGTTTTAAAAAGCTTCGTGGCGAGTGTCGAGTGTCGAAGGTCAACATATGTGGCGAGTGTGCTTACTTGCGACTCCAGCCCATCAGAACCCGCCGCCATTGTAGGTGCCCAGGTATTTATTGCAATTACCACAGTAATGGTTGGTGCTCATGCAACTCTCCGCACAGTAGGGCAAACAGACGCAACACCATAAGCTGAAAGTAAATAATGAACAAAAACAAAATTATCTAAATTTTATCTTTTTAGTATACACATATAATTTTTTATTTTATTTGCTAATTTTTTTCAGTTTTCCATATCGCAATGCAAACATATGTCTGGTGCTAGCAGCAAATATCTGCCGTAATATATAATTTTTTACATTTATAATATATATACATATGAATGTGTGAGTGTATGGGCTTTTATCCGATACAAATAATGCGCATATTTATCAAGCAAACAAAGTATTAATTATATAACTGAGGGTTTTTCGATAAGAAATTTGTATTGCCTGGTACGCCATAGTGCTGCGGAATAATGCAATACTTGTGCAGGGAAATTCATTTATACAGAGACATGGAATTGTTCGCAATTTACAGAACTAAAATGCGCAATTTAATTACTACTTATATAAATGAGCCGTCTCATTCCCAGAAAGTAATTTTTGTAAAGTTTTGTATTATTCAAGTTATTATTCCATTAGTAAATTATCTAAATTAGTACTGAGTAAATGATACATAGTAACAATCGGAAATTGTAATTGAAACGCAAAATATGTAATTATTCCTCAATATTTATTTTGTTGCCTTCAAAGTAATCTCATCTGGTGATTTGTCCTCGAAACATTTTTCATCATTTTCGTCTTGTTTATTCCCCACCATTACGAATATTGTTGACTTAATTGCGTGTCAAACTCAACTAATGTCTTAGCGGCAGTTGTAATGCTCTCAAGGAATGTGGGATCGGTATTTGCACGATCAAGCAGAACTTGTTTACGTTTCATACCCAAAATATCCACCAAAATCATTTCAACGGACTCGCGATAGATGTTGAACTCTCTTGCCATCCCTTTAACACCTGAAAGAATTTTTTCAAGCACCATATCCTTCACTTTTTTAATTTCAGTTGAAGAGGTCGAAGGTCATACAAAACGAGGCTTGTCTCCAACGACTTCTCAATCGTCTTTGAAGTTTGTGATTAGATAAAACTGAATCACCGTAAGCCCTTTTCAACATTCGCAATGATTCGCACACGAAATTTGGTTAGAAATACAAAATTTAGAATACCAGGATGCACTGGCTTGAGCAAATTACAATTTCCGCGTTCTTTTTTCACAATGTATAAATACAAATTTTTTCTCGAGTAAAATTTTATTATCTTTGAATCAATTAACTAATTGCCAAATTAATGTTATATTGCTTAGTTATATAGTTATATAGATATCTTTATAGACCCCGGCGGGACACAGTTGATAACTGTAATATACACATAAAAGTTAAAGTTTGACAACCCTTCAAACGAAACTTTTAAGAGGTTGAGTTGAAATCAATAAATCCGAATTTCAAAACTTCAACCAAAATGCAATTGGGTTGAAAACCATAATGGAGACTTAAAAAAATGGTTGATCATTTTAATGCTTCATAAATTAAAAAAAATATTAATACGTTTTAAATCATATAATTATAAAGTACGAAATATCATTTTATGTTGCAATTTTTTCAATTCAAAATTCTCACTAAAGCTTTTGCAAAGAAAGGTCTGTACTTTCTCAACTCTTGTCAAACATAATTTTTTAGAACTAAGTACGTTTGAACAACATCTACGTTAAGTTAATTTATACCTTAAGCTTAGCTATTAGCTGACTCAGCTGATTGACATACCGACAGCTTAGTTGGAGCCACCTGTGGTGTTATCAGAAAATCTATTAATTTAGCTACGTGTCATTCGATCATTATTTGCACGAGTTTTTGAATACAAACTACTCATATTAAATATTGATTGCTATTTTACAGTCTTCATGAATTTAGCTGATATTTCCTTGAAAGTACGATTTAATGAATGGTTTTCTGATTGTTTATACAAATATCTTATAAAAAATTCAATTTAGTTTATTAATAAAACATTCAAACTGGCTCAATTGTTTCATTATGGTGGGTTTGTTTAAAGCTTGGTAGGAGAAATCAAAGTATGAGGGGCAACAGGCGGTCGCACTTAAGTCAGCATTATCAAAATTAAGGGTGTTTTTTTGGACATGTGGTTTTCAAAAAGATTTAAAACGTATAAAATCTGATATCATTGTCAATAGTTTAGCTTCAATATAAAGATAGGGGACCGCCAATATGTTAAAGAAAATGAGTTCGAGCAAGTGACCGCCTGCGCTGACTCAAATAAATTCCAGCCGAGCGGCTTTCGTCCAATTTTTGCAGCAATATGATATCGTATTTAAAAACCGTATTTTAAAACCATCCAGATAATTTTTTTTTTTTTTTTCATTTTAATATTTAATTCAGTGTTGTTTAATTGAATTTATTTAAAAATTATTTGATTTATTTTTGCTTACTTTACTGAGTTTAATTTATTATTTTTAATTTATTTTACTTCATTTGATTTTATTTATATTATTATAAAAGAACTTTATTTTAGTTCATTTTAATATTACCTAGTTGTATTTATGTTCATTTTATGTTACTTGAATTCTTTTTTCTTTATTTTAATACACTGTTTTCATAGTTTATTTATTTTTTCTTATTTTGATTTCATTTATTATTTTTTTACCCAATGTTTTTAATTTTTTTTTTCATATTTTCTTACCCCACAATACACAGTATCGCCGCCATTAAATGTGTCCTGGCATTCGGTTCATAGCCGATGCGTGTCAGCTTTGTAACGTGACAGCCTGGACATGTGATGAATGTTGGCTCCGGCCCCAAGGGCAAAATAGCTTGTTCTGCAAAAAAAAAAAAAAAAAAAAAAAAAAAAAAAAAAAAAAAAAAAAAAAAAAAAAAAAAAAAAAAAAAAAAAAAAAAAAAAAAAAAAAAAAAATTCATTAATTTTTGCATTCAGTCAAGGTTATCCTTATTACAACTTCAAATTTTTAATTAATTAAAAACTATGTAATATACAAGTATATAATTCTCAATATATAGAATATTCGTGACAAAATTATCTAGTTAGCTTAGCTTCTGAAATGTTGGTAAGCAATTTTGGTATAAATTGTGTTTTTGAATCGAATAAATTTACTTATTAATCTGTCATAATAATCTCCTTTTTTATAGTTTTTATGTTGATATTGTACACAGCCAACGTAAAAAATCTTTTGAAAGACGCGTTGTTAACCTAATACAAGATTATCTCATGAAAATAATTTTATGATTAAAGTGCTGCAGCTGCATCAGAGGAAAAGAGCTCAGGCAGATATTTGTCAATGAAGGTTTTATAATACCTGACGTCAATGGTTTGACGTAGACGTGAGTCTGTATTCGCGTCATTATTTTATACTTTATTTCATTGAGATATATGACTCAGATTCTCTTTAAATTTTTAATATTCTTGGAAGGGTAATCTATCATCACATTATATACAATGAATTAAGCTTAAAACAAGTAAGGAAGGGCTAAGTTCGGGTGTCACCGAACATTTTATACTCTCGCATGATAAAGTGATAATCGAGATTTCAGGCGTGGTTTTGACCGATTTCACAAATATTTGGTACATGTCATCAGGGTGTTAAGAAAATATTATATACTGAATTTCATTGAAATCGGTGGAGTACTTCCTGAGATATGGTTTTTGGTCCATAAGTGGGCGACGCCACGCCCATTTTCAATTTTTAAAARAAGCCTGGATGCAGCTTCCTTCTGACATTTCTTCCGTAAAATTTAGTGTTTCTGACGTTAGTCGGTTAACACACTTTTAGTGATTTTCAACATAACCTTTGTATGGGAGGTGGGCGTGGTTATTATCCGATTTCTTCCATTTTTGCACTGTATATGGAAATGCCTGAGGGAAACGACTCTATATAGTTTGGTTAATATAGCTATAATAGTTTCCGAGATATGTGCAAAAAACTTAGTAGGGGCGGGGCCACGCCCACTTTTCCAAAAAAATTACGTCCAAATATGCCCCTCTCTAATGCGATCCTTTGTGCCAAATTTCATTTTAATATCTTTATTTAAGCGCTAAGGTCGGGTATAACTGAACATTTAATAATTTCCAATTCGCAAGTTAAGAAACTTACAGATTGACCAATGCAATAAGATACACTGTTATGAGAAAGTATTAGAAAGAAGAACCGTATTCACCAGAGTTGGCTCTGTGTGATTTTTCCTTCTTCCCCATACTGAATTAGTCGCTTGGTGGAATCCGATTTCAGTCGATCGAAGAGATAATATAAAAGTCGCAGAAGGAGCTGTAGACCATTCCAAAAAGTGCTTATGAAAAGTGTTTCGATGACTGGACAAATCGTTTACATAAGCGTATTATATCTGGCGGAGACCAATTTGAAGGTGAAAAAAATTAAATATTTATATTTTTATATTACAAAAACATATTGCATTCGAAAACATTGGATGATATCTTTTAATATGACCAAGTTGAGAAAAAGTCAAGTTTCTACCCTACTATTGCGCTAGATGGATCATTAAGAATTTATACAATTATTATATTATAATAAAATATTCTTATCTCAGAAGGTCTATGAATAAATTGCTTTATAACTGTGTACTTCCCTCTTCCCTACACTTGTTCTTAACTCATTGTCGATCGTCTTAAGTTTCACCATTTTCCGGCTAACAAAAGCCAACGACACCTTTCTATTTTGCATTGAGTAATGCCTAGCACACATCTCCACGTCTATATTTCGCTAACTCTTTGTTTACATACATACATATTTTCACCTGACAATCACTTTGTTCTGGAAACAAAGCAAATGTATTGAGTTACTTCTGCCTACACTTGCTTCCGAGGAAATTAAATATTTATGTTAGCACATACGCATGTGAAAGATGCTTTCAAAACGTACATATGTACTATTATGTGCGTATCTACCCAAAAGGAAACATGAAAAACAGTAGCTTCGGTTGCGAAGCCATAATAACCAACATAGGTGGATTGCCTATAACAAAATATCTTATCTTTAGTTTGAACTGGCAGTATACGACAGCAATATGCTATAGTAGTCCAATATAAGCGGTTTTGACCAATTATACTTCCGAAATAAAGAACGTGTGCAAAATATCAAATTGATATCTCAAAAACTGGAGGAGTAGTTTGCGCATATAAAGACAGGCGAAGAGATGGACATGGCTAAATTGACTCAGCTCATCATGCTGATCAGATTTGTGGTACATATCCCTACTATATTTGTTATATATTTTATAGAATCTTCGACGTTTCCTTTTGGGATGTTATAAAATTTTTTGCAAATTTAATACACTCCGCTAAGGGTGTAAATATGATGCGAAGATGAAAGGAATCAAAAGAAATTATCGATTTCTCAGTTAGTATTTTATTCACTGTTAGCAATGTTTAGAGACCTCTAGAACTTCATGTGAATCTATCGATATATGCGTCCTTAAATCGACGATTAACAGAAAGCGGACTTACTGGCATCGTTGAAATATCGAAATTACCAGTAAAACCATTTTGAAAGATAATTTGGGCCTAAGAAGAGTGAAAGCTCGACTGGTTCTAAAGTCATTAAATTTTGTCAAAAAACAGCGTTGCGTTAACGTCAGTTCCGACTATCAGAATGTCATGAAAACTATTATTACTGGCGATGAACCTTAGATCTATGCTTATGAGACGGAAACAGTTGATCTATCGGCCAAATACCATTTCAAAAAAAAAATCAAATCATTTAAAAGTCGTGGTTATTTTGACAGTTTTCTTCGATTATCGAGGTGTGGTGAACTCCGACTTCCTTCCGACCGGAAAAACTGTCAAGAAGGAACACTTTTTGAGTGTTATGCGTCGTTTGCGCGAAGTCATTCGTGTACAAAGGTTGGAATTATGGACTGACAACTTTTTGTCTTTGCACCACGATAATGCACCGTCGTATACTGCATTGATTCTTAGTGCGTTTTTCAATTGATTTTTAAAAATATAGAAATTTAAAAATTGCATGGTTTCCATACACTTATGACTAACAATATAATATGTTCCCATAAGCAAAACAAAATAATAATAAAATACATAAAAAATAATTAAAAGTAATACCAACCGTTTTGTGGGTTTTCAACTGAAATGTCATTGACGTTCTTAAAATGCAATCAAGTGTCCGTTTCGGAGCAAACTTTGAGAACAAAAGGCATAATGCGTTGCGTCTGTCTTATACGATTATTTGCATGTACTGTTAATGCATGCGAACGGATGTGTTGTGTGTATGTCTATATTTTTAAGCTGTTGATTATACTATCATTACTATTAGAGTCTACAGTGGAAAGTGATAAGAATAATCAGTCTTTAAATATGCTATTTTAACCAAAAACTTTTAGAAACATAATATTTTTAGGGAGAATAAAATTGCAATTACGGATTTACAGTTTTTACAATTTAAAAAAAATTTTACAACACTTCTAGCATATTGTCCTTAATTTTCAAGTTGATCCGAGTAATAGTTTCGGAAATACAGTCTTGAGAAGCTAGCTAGGCTAAGTGCGCCATCTTCAAACGCGTTTTCCTCGAGAACTACTCAACGTTCTTCATGAAATTTTACACAGATCTTTGAGATGCAGTTCTTAGAGACTTGGACGAATGATTTTTTTTCGATTGCGACTTTTAAAAGAAATTTTGCAAAATTTTCACTTTTCTGTAAAATAGTCCGACAAAAACAAAATTTTAATTTGTTTATCTTCGTCAAAGTTTTACGTTAATGTTTTTACTTTTTTGCGCTTTAGACGATCCTGTAAGGAGTTAACCTGCCAAGGCGTGCACATTTTTTTTTCGGAGGGATCACCGGAAATGGCGCCGCATATATTTTTTTCCGAAAATTTCACAATTTCTTTGTTACTAGTGTGTGTTTGTAGCAATAAAAAAAATATAGTTAAATAGTACATTTTTTTTATCTGAGAAAAAAATTTAAAAAAAGGGCTGTTTGTTTACTCGAGGAAACCCATGTAATCTCTTTGATATGGGAGTTGAGGAAGAATCGACTTGATTTTTATCTATTTTACATGCTACTAACATAAAAACTACCAATAAAGTGCTCCCTGTATTTTATTAAGGTCCCCCACAAGCCATTACCAATCTATATTGAGTAAAGTCAGCGATATGTTCGAAAACTCTGATGTTAGTTATATAGGGGCTGGGTAAAGATTTCACTCGATTTTATCCATTTTAGAAACAAATATAAATTCTAAAACACACTTTCACACATACTGGCCAATATATGCGGTATAAAGTCAGTCGGAAGTTCGAAAATCTTTATATTATAAACATGGCAGCTCAACCCATTTTTGACCCACAGAATACTCTTTTCAAGAATTAATTCTCTATGCCTTTTAATTAATTGTTTTTATCTTTCATTATATACCTCACACATTGGCCGATATGTTCGGTCAAAAGTCAACTATATATCCGGTCGACATACTATTCGGCATCATGGCGTTTGAACACCCTTGGCCCCGATTGAGATAATTTCTGGTCATAAGATGATGATGATGTTTTAATTTTACTCACTTCATTGCCTGCACGAAGACATTCACTGATATATATTTATATATTTATTATTTACTTATATATGTATATATCTAAATACCTATAGTATATCTTCTCGATTATTTGGAGGTGATACGAACAACCGTTAGGGGCACAAAACTATTATACTCAGTAGCAACATATTTCATTGAACACATTAACGATTTGTCAACGGGTTCCCAACTGTTTTATTGTTCGGAAAATATCAAATTGCATCAAGCCACAATTCTCTTCTGCACTGACAACCGTGTGATTCACATTTCCAGCAAGTCGTACTTACGTTGTATGATTACAACAGGTTGTTGTACCATCGGCTGCGTCGTGCCTGACGCGCTCGGCATGTAAGCGTGATGTGTTGGCGGTACACCGCCGCTCCCGCCAGCGCCGCCCATGCTGGTGGCGCCGTACTGTGTGCTGCCGCCATAGGTGTGTTGTGCGCCAGCGCCAAAACCACCAGTAGTTGTTGTTGTTTTATTCGTGCGTGCTTGTGCTGGTTGTTGTTGCTGTGTGGGCGGGCGGTTGGCGGCGTCGGAAGTGCTGCTTGGTGTGGGCAACACCTGCACTGGTGGATAGGGCGCGGTGTGAATGGCCTGTTCATAGGACGGCGGTGCGGCCGGTGCCTGATCGACGTAGCCGCTGTGTGTAGCCTCCTGCATCCCGGCGGGCATACGCGGATAATTGACGGGTGGACCTGATTTCTCCATCGCAATGATGAGCTGATTAATTAACTTGTTACTGTTATTCTTTTTGATGTTGTTGATGTATGTAATTAAAACAATTACTTAATTGCTGTCGAATTCTTGAACTTCAACACTTGACTTGTATTTGCAATACACAAACAACTTTCTGCTTTAATTTTTGACACGTACACCAAATGTCAATATATTTGTTTTTGCTTTTGTTATTCCGATTTTTTATCTAAGAAGAATTATCAGCTGTTGGTTTTGCACTGTTTCTATATTTACTTATATTTTTGCCGCTTTTCGTTTGGAGTTTCTTTCAACTTCGCGTGCGTTTCTGTTCGTTGCCAACGCTTGACTGTTGCTCGGCTTCGCTTAGCAGCTGTTAGCTCCATTGACGAATGATTCATAAGCTTGTACAATGCTTATCACTGCGCTTTTGCGAAGGCTCTCGTTGATTCTAGAAATGAGAAGCCCGTGGCGCAGCGTTGCCAACTATTTTGTTTGTATATATGTAAGTATCAACATGCAAGCTTTTTGCGTTATCTGATTTGATGTATAAGCTTAGATGTTATATTTATTTCTCGTTTATTTTTGTTCGTTACACTTATACTGGAATTTCGTTTAAAAACGTCATTTCGGCTTTTTAAACTTTCTGTGCTCCGCTCGCTTTCTTTTGATAATGTTTTAATACTTTCTACCGTTCTTTACACGATGATGGTTACTCGAATCGACAAACAAAGCACGTTCAGGGCTAAAAAACACACACAAATTATTAAGGAAATTCAAATGTTTTTTTTTGTTTATTTTTTATTTTTATTTAATGAGAATAACAAAGTTGAATAATTTGTAGATTCGACAGTTTTGTTTATTTGCCGCACTACTCAGATGAAAGTGAGTTAATGAAACAGATGATTTTCTTAAAAAGCTCGTTATCATTTCAAGTTGTTCGAAGGCAAAATGTGCAGATTCACAACGTTTAACTTTCACATTTGACAAGATATATTCACGAAATTTGGTATGTATTATTTTCCAAGGCAACAATGTAATCTACGAAGAAATTGTTCAGATCGGTTAAGTATAGCATATGGCTGCCATACAAACTGAACGATCGAAATCAAGTTCTTGTATGGACAACTTACACATTTGACAAGATACATATATTCACGAAATTTGGTACATATATATCATTGGATAACTATAGCATAWAGCTTCCGTACAAACTGAACACATAGTTACTAACAGAAATGCAATTGTGAAGGGTATTTAGCTTCGGTGCAACCGAAGTTAACGTTTTTTCTTGTTTTATATGAATTTAAGCTAGAAACCTTCCTTTAAATCCGGACGGTTGTGTTTGAGACAGTCGCAAATCTTGAGAACGTCTTGGAATCGACAAATAGCGGTCTTCGCAAACACTGGCCTGAATAATAGAACTATACGCACGCTCCTTAGAAGTATATCGACTATAGCATATATTGTACTAGCATATACTTTTGCATATTTAAAGAATCAAAAGGAGCCAATTTAAAARTAAACAAGCAAAAACGTTAATTTCGGATGCCTGGAACTCCATCTGAGTAATTTCTTCGGTGATATTATATTTCTTCCTTATTACCGGCGTAGAAACCGCTTACGCAAGTTATCAACAGCGCACCAGTCGTTTCTTCTTTTCGCAAGGTGGCGCCAGTTGGAGATTGCGAAGCCAGGTCCTTCTCCACAACGGAGTGTAGATCTACCTCTTCCTCTGCTTCCTCCGGCGCGTTTCGTAGAGATATACACTGCCTTAAATAATAATTCATGCCAAATTTTGTGCAGATACATTGTCAGACAAACAGATATCTATAAAAAGTGAACAATTTAGTAGACAGTATTTCTAAAAAAAACTATTCGCATGAATCTTCAGATGGATCAATTCTACTAAATACAACTCTTGGGACTTTAGAAGATTTGCTAATAGTAAATCGTATCAAATAGTCTTTACGATTCGGCAAAGCTTGCGGAGAGACGAATCGTACAAACATGTGGTAAAAACCATTTGGAAGTTATACCAAAGAGATATCTACATACTCTCCATTATGGAATTTAACTGGGTGACTTTACTTTTTTACTATAATCAAAACAATCCCATAAATATCGAATCGATCAAAACTTTTAGAAACCTACATATAGTAGATACTACTTTGAACAAAAAAAAAAGTAAGTCTTACTTCTACATAATTTAAAAATTCTTAATTAATTTTTCAAAATCATTGTTGTCCCTCTCAAAGTCCTTACACACTTGTGCCAACGTTTTTTCCAATCCTCAAAACAGTTGTTCAAGTCAATTTCCGGAATAGCCGTGAATGCGTGTAGCGTTTCACATTTAATGTCTTCAATTAACTCAAAATGGCTTTCCCGGAGTGGTCGTTTGAGTTTGCTGAATAGCCGGCTCATAATTCCGGCATCTTTTGACGAATGGCCTCGCGCAATCTACGTCAAATACTCAAATATCATTCCTCGTTGACAGTTTATCCGGTCGGAAGAAATTCGGGTATCCCGAACAATAAAGGACCGCGATCACTGACATCTATAATAATTTGACACCTCCCTTTTCGTATATCAAATCAGGCGCTCCAAAGCGAAATTTCAAAACATTTAGCGAGATATCTTTCTAATTGAAGATTGTACCATATCCAAAGGCAATATGTTAGTATTTATATTTTGTATCCTAGGTAGGTCGACGAAACCTAATTCCAGTCGATTTCAAACTAGGAAGAACTGATTAGTGCATCAATTTATGGATCTCGAAAATTCATAGCAATATTTGTACCTATATAAATCGTTTCTTCGGTCTTCGACACTCGTTTTTCAAAAGTTTATGACTGGTTATGTCTTTTGAGGAAAGCGGACGAGTTTTATATCTTCACAAACCAGGCCAAAATTGCTTTTTGTATTTTTGTAAGAAAAAATCACCTGGTCAACAATTTTCGAAAACAGGAAAAGGTCTTGATGTGAACAAAATGTTTAAAATAGTTTGCAGTTACAAACGACGTTTGCAGTTGTCAGACGATTTCGACAAGTAGCTCTTCAAGAGAATGTCATTTTGAAACCTTGCTTGCCTCGGGAAAAGTTAATTCAATTAATAATGTCTTTGATTAGCCAAAACGTGGAAAATTTCGAACCGAAAAAAACAGCTGTTATTTAGCAAATAAACTAGCGGAAAATGGAGCTAATTTAGTTAGGGAGATTATTAATGAGGTAATCATTTTCTATTCTTTCTTGAAATAAACTAAAAAAGTTTGTTCTTATTCACAAAAGAAAGAAGATCTTAAAAATAGTGATCAGTGATATGACGAATCGAACCCTGAACTGTTTTCTTTGCTTTGCTCACCTTTACCACGATATTCGGCCGATTGATCGTCTGTTTCTAGGTTTTAAGTGTAAATTGAAGACTTATCGCTAGTAATAACATGTTTCATGAATTGCCTGTGATACCAACTTAGTAAAAAAATATTTTTCCCATAGTAGTAACTAAGGAAGCCCGACCTTTGATATTTCAAATATTTCGGTCCTGACATTTTTCGAACTTCACTATAGGGACATATTTAAAAAAATAAATTCTGCTGATCCATCTGGAATGCACAATGAGGAGTACAAGAATTTGTTTGCTTGTGCAAATCGTATTTGTTTATTGTTATTTATTAAAATATAACAGAAAAATATAAGTTGACCACATCAGATTAATATATTTTTTCGCAAATGAATGAAGTCATCCTAATTTTAAGATTAAGCTTTAAATTTGTAAGTGTTTTATGCTGAATTTTTAAATTTCTTTAAAAATGTGCATAATTTTAGAAGCATAACGAAAAACTCATAACCAAAAATAACAAAGTTATATAAGTCAATAAATATTTTCGGCATTTCGTGTTGACTACACTTTTTTTATCGATTTTCTAGTTAGTCAAGGAAAAATATTACAGTCAACTTACGAAAGATTAATAATGCTTATCTATCGATGTCTTTCGAGATATTTTAATATCTATTTAAAATAGTTTTTTTTTATAAATTTTTATAATCAGTATATACATATAGTATTAAATATCAGTAAGTTTCAAAAATTTGTGTCTTTTTTATTGGGAAAAAATATTTCGGGTTCAAATTTCCAATTTTGTTTAATATCCTTCTTAGGTAAAATTCACTTCAGCATTTTATCAAAATCTACTCAGCGGTCATATACACCCAAAAAAGCATTACAAGATGGGCAGTAGTGCTCCACATTTCGTGCGCAATCCGTGCAGTACACAGCGCAGGCGCAAGGTAGGCAGCTAGAAGTAAAGAGTAAGAGCGTTAGTATTTAGAAACTCATGCTTATAAATATTTTTATATAGTGTGATAAGGTGTGACTAAATTATATATTAGGGTGTTCCGTGTTGCGTACTGTGAAATATGTTTGTCAAAAAAGTCTTGCGGTATTTTCGCTAGTTGGCGTAGTTCTAGTTTTATTCGTCGCATCGGGTCATGCTATACCTTTTTGGAAAGCTCATTTCACGCGCTAAACGTGTTTCATTAATTGTTGTTTATTTTAAGTCGTTCGTGAGTTATAGCGTCGCAAACATGGAGCAAAATAAAGAAAAAATACGGCATATTTTACAATACTACTACGATAAAGGCAAAAATGCATCTCAAGCCGCCAATAAAAGTTGTGCCGTTTATGGACCCGATACAGTTTCCATTTCCACCGTACAACGATGGTTTCAACATTTTCGTTCTGGTGTAGAGGTGGTCGAAGATGCGGCCGCCATAGTAGCAGCCGTAGCATCGGTCAAGAGCTGGGCATGAGTCATCAAAAAAAAATTTTATGAACAATTGAAAATTCAATAAAAATACCGCAAGACTTTTTTGACAACTTAATATATTTCTATAAATAAATTCAAATTAAAAAATGTTATATATTGCGATTATTAAGTGCTTCGAACAGTATTTTATTTTGTTGAGAACTTTCATAAATAGTGTGAATTTAAATCCGTGAGTCTCCGACCTCTACTGGAGTTTTTTTGGAGAGTGTTTTAGCAAATGATTTTAGCCATTAAACTTTCTTTAAACAAACTTTGGGAACACACCTGAATATACCTAGATTATTGGTTAGTATTTAGTGAGGTATGCGTCTTGAGTTTAATTTGATTTTGACAAAAAGATAAAACTACTAAAATCTATTTGTTTATGAGGTATTATGGAGACATGCCAGGAAAAACACGAATTAATTTTAATGCCGAAAGTACTACTTTGTCATATTTCGAGATTGTTATTTATTGTGCTCAATTGTATTGGTTTTTTGCTTTAATTTGAATTCTATGTTTTCCGTACACATTTTTTTATTATTTCGGGATTGTTACTCGGTATTTCGGTATTTTCGTGACTTGTTTATTATTTCTGGATCCCGATATTTTGGGGTTGTTAATTCTTGAGTTCATTTGTGTGCTTTTTTCCAAATTGGTATCAAGTGCTTTTCTGGATATTAGAGGTTATGTTAGGCACATCACGATGAACTAAGCTTATCTAAAATTAGACTATTTTACAAAATTACCAAACTCAATAAGATCAATCTTTCGATAATGCAATTCCCGTTATGTAACAGCTTTAAGCTTCTGTTAAACTAAATAACTTAATAGTAAAATCTTCTGTAAAAATTTAATTATGTTTCAATATGTTATAGTAATAATACTCACAGCATTCCAGCCAGTAGTAAAGCAATAATATGCGATTTTGTCGAAGATCTGTATTCCATACGCGATGTCACTTGCTTGGAGCAATTCGGGCAGCTCAAATTGCAGGGTATTGGGCCAAGTGGTGGTAACATTACTCAAAATGATACGGTGAAACAACAAGTGGAACTGTGGTTGACATTGAAAAGAGAAAAGTTTGAATATTATGTGTAATATTCATGAATTCTATTGTTATTTAATTTAATTTAGCAGCATTTAAGTGGCACACTTATAGAGTAATTTTGAATAAAACCGATTTTTTCCAATAACTCAAATAGTTTTTGAGTTGAGCGAATCTTTTAAGTGTAGCCGTTTAGTTCAATAAGCTCAATCAGTTTTCCCCAACAGCATTTTTGAATTTGCTACGGTGATAATTCGAAGAGTTATCATATAAAATTTGACCTACCGGTTTTTAAATATGACCGAATTTGACCGTATGTCATTGTGTGAAGAATACCTTCAAAGCGATTATCCGGGATTCCCTATTTTTTCAAACAAAAACACAGTAACTTCAAATTTAATGGCGAATGTTCTTTGTTATTTAAATCAACATTCTTCGGCATTTATTTTTTGAAGATTATCTATTTAATTTGTTGGCGGTTGTCTCGTTCGAGCATGTCGACTGTAACTAACAATTGACACGCGGGAGGTTTTGCTCCCAGGCATATACTTTAGACTTTACATATCCTCACAGGAAAAAGTCTAACGGTGTGATATCACATAATCTTGGCGACCAATGGACCGGCCCAAAACGTGAAATCATTTGCTCACCGAAGTATTCTCGCAATAAATCCATTGTTTGAAACGATGTGTGGGAAGTGGCTTCTTCTTTTTCAAACCAAATGTCGAGCTTCAATTACAGGCCTCAAATAGTTGGTTATCATGGCGCGATAACGGTCGCCATTGACGGTTATGTTCTCACCGACATCATTTTTGAAGAAATATGGACCGACGATTGCACCGGCCCACAAAACACACCAAATCGTTGTTTTTCCTGTATGAAATGGTAGCTCTTGAGTATCTTTAGATTGCTCTTCGTCCCAAATGCGTTACACTTGTTGCTTGTTTACATACATACTCATTGAGCTTAAAATGGGACTCATCGCTCAACAAAATCTGGTGCGAACACGTCGGATCTTCTTGCAACATTTCAGGAGCTTGCGCAATCGGTATTTGGTACGATTGCAATGCTAGATCTCGACAAGTCGTTACATACGTCAGTCTGAATTGAAGCGAATGACGCCGAATCGACTCTCCACGGTCTTCATGTACACCCTCAATTACGGCTGCTATACAAGCATTTTCTTCACTGAGTACCGGACGTCGTCTATTCGGTCGAATATTATCTAATAACGAATGCTGGGTCTCAAGATGGGTGATGGTGCTGCGATTAGTACACTCAGTACGCTGATTATGGCAATCATAACTTGTGTGAAGTGCGAGTAACACATTCTTTATAAACGTGGATTGGATCACCGGTTAGTTTAGCGAACTTTTTTTTCAGGTTTCAATCATGTAGAAGCCGAAATTGAAAATCTCGTATATCTAAATACGAATTTATATTATATTTTTCATATATATATTTTTCAAAAATTTCGCTATGTAGTTTTAAACTTGTGTGTGTAATTGTTTTCAGACACGATTTTTCGGATTTTTTCATGATCCTGAAAAATTTCAAGGTAATAATGCACTTAGTATGTTAGAAATTGATTTTTTCATTATTTACATTAAAATAGCGTGATTTTATTGCTGATTACATTCGCGCAAAAAGTAATTAAGCAAACTGTTTGTTTTCTTTTTTTTAACATTTATTAGAGTTTGCCAGTTACTTATTATGATGTAAAGTCAAGTGCTTTAATGAATGCAATTTTAGTAATAATTTTTTCCTTAAACGTGAGTTGCCTTTATTATTTCGAGATTGGAGAACAGTAACAAATACCAATCATCGGTAACTGCTTTATTGTTTTTCGAAATATACTCTGTTAAGATCTATACACTTTAACATACGTTTGAAACAATTGTGGAAGCACTTTTGTCGCTCTGATTGAGGTATCGCCAAATCATGCCTTTTGAACGCCTCTTATCTTTATCCAACATGAAATTGTTTTTTTTTGTGCCAAATGTTCTTGGAATATGGGATATATGCTGGTCCCGCTTGTAGTTGTCTCAATCTTACGATAGGCCACATGACGATCTGACAGTATAAGTTCGATCATCAATAGTTTCCCGAACAAAAATTGATGTTGGACGACCTTCACGAAATTTGGCTTGTAGTGACCCACTACCTCGATTGTATTCTCCGTACGTTTGATGAACATTGATTCTTGCTGGAGCTTCATCGCCAGAAATTGAATTAAGTTCATGAATGCACGTTGCTGAGTTAGTCCACGTCGAAAGTTGTGAAAAGTAATCGCACGAAAATGTTCGCGATTTGTACACAAAATAAATAGCGCTCGGATGGCAAAGAGTTCTGAGTATTGATACCATCAATCATCATAAATGTCCAACTGTACGATAAAGTTCTGAGTTGCCACGTTGCAACACCAGAGTTGCTAAAACCGGAAATAAATATAAAAGGCTACCTATGTAGTGTAGTATTTTTATAAATTATAGCCATAGGATTGGGAAAAATATTAATATAACTTTTTTTACGAATAAGCTTCAAAAACTATGTTTGTTAGATTTCTCATGTATCATATGGTACCAAAGACATCTACGAGTATAGAGGAATTATGTATAGTGTAAAAAAGTTTTAATTTTTGTTTATAAGTTCATATTGTTTATTTAATTTCCATTTTACGTCAGCGCCGATTAATGACAAAAAAATATTTGCAAACATTAATGTTTCAAATTAGTCATTGAGATTGTGAAATTACGTGAACCTTGAACTCATAGCAATAAACGATAACAGCAATCAATGTGTACATTATAGAAAAAACCGGCACGTCCCAATATTTGAAGCGATTTTAATTCTCTTCACAAATCTTATCATCGCTCTGTACACTGTGACTATTTAATTCCATATTGAGGTATACTTGGTATTACATACTATACCAAAATGACAACGATGACGAAAGTAATTGACTTTCTGGTGTCTTTCTATTCCACCATTGGTTTAAATAATCATGAATTAATCATGAATATCTACTTTGTCCCTTCAAAGTTATCAGCGCCAGATATTGTACATTTCTGCCAGCGTTTTTTCCAGTCCTAATTTTTCATGTTCCTGTTCATCTGTTCCTTCGATCAAGTTTTTATCCATTCAAGAGTAGAGTAGCATCGTTCTTTCGTAGGTCCTTTTGAGAACAAAAAGTTGCGGCACCTTTAATCTGTTATTTTTTGCCAAATATTCGCGCACAAGCAACGTGGCGTGGGCAGGGGTTCATACGTTTCAAATAAATAACAAATAATATTCTTGATTGACCGTTGACCCTTTGGCAAGAAGCTATAATGTTCGAAGACCTTGCAATCAAAGAAAATTATTAACAAATCCTTCAAAGACGAACTTGGTGCGCTTTTTGGATCCTGGTTTGAGGGCTTACAAAATTTAACATATGCAAGAATTGAAGGCGAACGACCATAAAGCACGTCGAATTCTGACAAGAAAATTTTGTTCAGCCATGAAACTCACTTTTAGTTGAATGTTTATTGGAAGGAAAGTTTTTTTGGCGAGCTCATTTTCTTTCGTTGTTGGCTTCTAACATCACTGAAAACCAACTGGGTAAAAATATTACATTACGCATGTAATTTGGATGTCTACAACAACATCAGTCGACTCCACTAATATCGATTGCTAGCAACCGTGCATGCCCCGATAAGTCCCAATTTGGCTGTTGTTTTCACTGAGAGATACTAATTTTATGTGTATTTCTGAAGAAGTATGTGTATTTCTGCGGGGTGTCACACTTTGCTTTAGGCTTTAGTTATTTGATCGACGTGTGTAAAACTAAATTAATGGGCCCTAATAAGATTTGACAATTATGCTAAGCTATTTTAACTTCGTGTAATGTTCCCGCTGAAAGACTCCATTTCCCAAATTTTTTTTATTTGCTATCTGTCTTTAGCCTTCATCCCACTGTTCAAGGTCAAAAAGTAGTCCGACAGAACCCTTATAATTCGTTTCTCCTTTAAACATAGTATCCGAAGGCCCTAGTAGCCAGTGCTGATTCTTCCAAGTGAATTAATTATTTATAATTAGTTCTCTTTCAAATAAATAAATAAAAATAAACATAGTATATTCCACTAGTCATTTGCATTCCTTTAAAGCGCAATAAATAACTAACGGCTCTTTAAGGACAAACAAAATAAATGAACACATACCACATGTGTTCTTATGGTTATAATTCACTGGGTTTCACGCCTTGTTTGCGGCCACACCTTGCAAGAAATGTAGCCATGTCGCCATATTTCGAAGCTTAATGGGGCTCATAATGGCGGCCACGCTCCTGTTGCTCCCCTTTCAACCAACCAACTAAGTATATATGTGAAAAATCCGAAAGGAAAAACTGTCCAAATTGCTTGCATGATTATGTTTTACTCGTATTTGCTTTTAGTCATCGGCATTTTCACCACTGATTACTGTCATTCACATTCATGGACGCGCCATAAGAAGAGAGTTTTTTACTTAATATATTTGTTTATCCGATATTTGCAAGTGCGTAGTAAAATATTCGTTAACGAAGAGCCAAAGGAAAAAAAAGTAGAAGAGAAGTTGAAGTAGCGAAAAACTAATAAGTTGATATTAACCGATATTCTTAGTCTTTTTGTTTTGCTTTTAAATTTTTATAACTAATGGAAATCAGAATAGACTATTTTCGAAGGGGATCTGCTCCTGTTTAGTTTTAGAGATTTGTTGGATATTTAATAATACCAACATTGTGTCTGCTATAGAATGCTATGTATTATTTACGGTAAACTTAGAATAGCAACACTCCATCAATTCTACTTTATTTTTGACATATTTTATTTCTTTTTATGATTTTAATTGAGTTTTGCTTCTATGCTGTTTGCTATAAAAATACATAAACATTTTAGATTTTTTTATATCTTGTAATATTGCTTTTGCTTTCAGTTGAAGTTTGATTTCTTAAATGGGGTATATTAAGTTTGCAACGACGTTTTTAGCTCTCAGTCGTTGTATGGAAAAGTTTTTCTTTTGTCAAGATATCATTTTGGTAGTACGATTTGTTTGTTTGCTTTAAAATAGGCCTCACCTCTTCATGTGATGATAATATTCCCCCAGCAAGCATTGTTTGGCGATCTGAGGACAGGAAATAGTAGCTGGTGGTTAGATCTGGAGAATACGATGAATGCGAAAGCAATTCTAAGACCGATTTATGAATTTTCATCATAGCTTTCTCTGACTTCCGACACGGTGCATTGTCTGTGTGATACATTACTTTTCTTTTCTTCCTTGGTTTTTCTGTTTTCAACGTAATCTATAAGAATTATTGAATGCGTATCACAAATTATAAACGCCATAAACTTGACAGCCGATTGTTTCATTTTACCACGCTTTGGAGCGAGTTCATAGTGTGCAGTCTACTAGGATGATTGTTGATTGGACTTCGGAGTGGAACCATGCTTCAACCATTGTCACATATCGATGCAAATACTCGAGTTTTTTGAACATCTCTAAACACTGCTCCGAATCATCAACTCGTCGCTGTTTTTGGTCAAAAGTGTGCTCGCTTGGCACCCATTTTGCTCAGCGTTTTCTCGTAAATGATACAATGTACACTCTCATTTGATATATTTTGGGTGTTAGTTATTTCGAACAACTTCACTGTGCAGTCATCCAAAATTATGTAGTGGGTTATTTTAATATTTCTTCGGTTACGGTGTTAATTTCACCACGTCTAAACTTAACATTGCAATCCTTGATGGTTGATTTTCATGGGACACTGTCTGCAAGCTCATCGCCAAGTTTTTGCTTCATCCGTATTTGTTTTCTTATCAACTCGTGAAATTCCTTTTTATCTATGTTTTTCATAATAACAAAAATTTCCCTGTTTTAGTTGCCTTACAAACTGATCGGTCAGAATTAACTTCTTGGTGCGAAATCATTTTTATTTTCTATTCGGTTCCGAAGTTAACGTTACTTCTTGTTTTACTAACTTTTAGATGAACTTCTTTCGTACGAAGCTCGATTTTTACATTCTGTTCTTAAGTCCACAGTAAAAAATATATTTTTTCAATTGAAAAATATTTTATTTTTTTTTTTTTAATTTAAACAAATTTAAAAGTTTGGATTTGTTTTTATAATTTTAACAAATAATTTGTAAACATTATATAACTAAATAAAGGTTTACTTACTCCAAAATATTTTAATATAATGCGGTTATAAACACGTCGCCCGCAAAGGACGTTTCAAAACTATTGAATTGGTGGCTTCGCATTCGTGGCACCATTTATGATTATCTTTATGCACATATACATTTACATACTGACTGAGTATATTATGTACATATGCACTTAGATTTTATCCACTTATACATATATATATGTATATAGATATAAATAAATGAAATAGTATGAAAGTGCATGCGAGGTCTCTCGTGTGCAATTATAATTTTGTCATTTATCCTTTTATCTTTCAAAGTTATCTTAGAAAACATTTCAAAAGCACAGCAAACAATTTAAATCAATGAAATGGTGGGGAATAACTTTTTTAGTGTTGACCTTGGATTTAATTGACACTTAGAGAAGGTGCATTCGATGACATAGAGTTTCAGGTTTAGATACATATTCAGAAAAGATAATTCCCAATATAGCTAATGGCACCATAATCTGACATCTGATCAAGTACAATTAAATTTTTAATCGGCCAGTCGCATCAAATACCTGTAGAACTTTATGGACGTTCCTTATAAAGCGTCTACAGCCAGCACTTAAAAGTCCATAAGGTGATGCAAAAATTCTCTTCCGAACACCTAAATAACGGACGTTGAGTTTCTTAGAGAGTTATTTCCACTTGCGAAGTCAAAAAAAAAAAAAAAAAAAAAAAAAAAAAATAATAATAATAATAATAATAATAATTTTGCATCATGAATTTTGTAACTTTGTATAATGAAATACTGTTCTCAGATTCATTGAGGAAAGTTTCTCCAAAACGTCAGAAACGATCGATTTGAAATTTTCACAAGACGTTCTTAGATATACTGCTTGTATTATGAGCAAAATATAATAAGACTTTATTCATAGTTTTGAAATTCTCAATTTATTCTTCATTCATTTTGAATTTCGTCCCCCTCAAAGTAGTCTAAGTAGTGGCCCAAATGCCACTGATAGATAGAAAAAAGATATTTCGTCGAATGGGTTTTTATACGAAATTAAAATTAAAAAGTCTTACCATATTTTGGCTATAGTGATGGAAGAAAGACGATTTTTGATAATGAGTGATTCTTTTTTTTACAAAAAATACCTCTTTTTTTTGAAAAGTCGCTTTTGTTTGATTAGCTTCAATTTTAGCTTTTTGATTAGTTCTTAGATCTTAACTTGTACTTATCTATAGTTCTCCTCCAACCTATAAAAACCCAGCAGGATTTGCCAGAATTAAGTCAATACTAACCATTGATGTCTTGAAAACATGTAGTTCCAAACATCCAGCCGCTACTAAACTATTATGACAGAGATGATGGCATTTACTTTTCTTCTCAGTATGAAGGGAAATATTTCTTTATGTTTAACAATTTTATCCATTAGATCGGAACAAGAGCATGATAAACTTTTTTGGAAACCTTCGCTACTTACCTACCTTTAGTAGACAGAAACGCATTGAAACTCTTTACTAATTCATTTGCATTCCTTATAATATAGACTATTGGATCGCGAGGCCTTCACTTGTCGGTTCCTTCTTCGCTGACATACCTGCGAGTGGCTTGTGTCCGCGGAAAGTTGTTGGAGAAAAGGTGCAGTGAGCTTTACGCTTTTTCCATATTAGAACTGTATGTGTGTCCGGTCAAAGCGGAATCGCCCGAAATTGCAAAGGCGATGAGCTTGCTGGGAAGGGCACAGTCACCCCGATTTCATCCGATTGTTAGCGAGTCGGTTGTCCGATGTCCACATCCGTTCTAACACTGGACTTATGGATGACTTGGCCATACAGACTTATTACCTAGTCACTGGTTAACAGCCAAAAGCTTATGCGACTGCGACATCTTTTTGGCTCAAATTGAACCGTAAAAGGTTCTCCGAAGTACTTATACGGCAGTAAAGTCAATCTCGCCCCAATTGTAGATGTTCTCATTGGACACATCCAATAGGTACATACGAGATACGACTAAATATTTCTTCAGACGCTGTTTGCCAAAGCTGTAGGGAGGAAGGCGAGGTTGAATAATCTTTTAACATTCTCTTTATTGTCCGGTTTTTGGCACACTGTTATTGAAATATAGCGGTAGGGACATTTTTGGTGCACCCAGCGATGTTGTTGGAATTGATATCGACCACCTTAATGATTTTGTCGTGAGCTCAGAACTCTTCATCGATCTATAAAGTTATGTAAAGAGCTTTTGAGTAACACAAAGGACAAATATCTGTCTAAGAGAATTCCATTTTTGTATCAACCCTACGACTTAACCTAAACTACCTAGCTTCAAACCATTTCATACCTACCTTATCTTTATAGGAAGCTAATTGAATAAATACGAAGCGGATAATGTTTTTTGTTAAAGTATAAACATTTATTACAAAAATATGGCAGATACAATTTTAATAAACAATATTACGGATACAAATTTTTTCAGTCAATGACTTCGAAAAGAACTACATAGGTCTTTTTCGTTAAAAAGATCCTCCCAGCTTGTATTCGAGTTTTTAATATTTCAATCTCAATCTCAATATTTTTGAAAAATTATTATAAAAAGTTTATATATATACCTATATACATAATATATACGCTTATATACACAGTATAGTATATGTCGTTGAAAAAAACGGTTATTAGTTGCTAATAAGCCACTTCAACGTTCGTAAACTCCAATGTAGCTGTTGCATGAGGGGCAACGATGTTCGACATTACGAGCACATTTTGTGCAATAAAGGCAGCAAGCGCACGGCCAAAAGCTGGAAATAAATATTATGAATCATAATATTTGCCAATAATGTGCAACAATTATATGGATTTATATTTTTCTGAACTCTTTGGAAGTGTTTTGAAAAATTAGTTCATAGGCTTGCAATAATAAAAATACTTTGTCGTAGGAGGAGCTCAGAGTTTATGAAAACCGGTTGGGTTCATCTGTGCTTCCAAGTTATCTGTATGTTTTTTTGGTTTTATCTATTTAAAATCATGTGTGAGATTGACTCCCAAATATGTAGGCACTGGGAGTAACATGAAATTAGGTTTAGTCTCTTCGGCATTGCCACATATAATTTCTAACCGCCCAGCTTCTTCAATGCAAATATGTAGATGGCTTTAAATGATCAGCAATTATCGACGATTTTCGAACTCAAACTAATCATTCGAAAAAAAAAAATGTTATTCATAGAACTAAGACCTACCCGATAATACATAAAAGCAAAGCTATCAAATGCGTTTTCGTGGATGATGTATAGTCCACGCTAGTGATTACTTGTTTATTACAAGTTGGACAAATGATTGTGGCTGGTTCCGGACCCACCGGTGCTGACATATTGATTGAGAGCTGTAAAGAAAAAAGTTTAATAATATTAAAATTCATTTGTTAAACATTTTATATTTTATTATATGTTCTTATAAACTTAAATTAGGTTTCTAGTGATCAGTGTCTTTTGGCAGCATCTTGACTAACATATTACGTTTACCACGATGTTTGTAACATTCAAAAGTAAAAGTCAAATACCCTATAATGTATATAACCTTACAAGAAGTAGTCGAATGGTTAATGTTAAATCACAACTTCTTGGAGGCCATTCAATGTCAAAATTTCTTGAAGTAATCGAATCTCCAAACTTTTCTCGCAAAAGTTCTGCTCTGTATGACACGTAGACCCGTCTTGTTGGAACCAGATGTTGTCAAAATCAACTTTTTTCAATTGGGGTCGTAAAAATTTGGTTATCACCGCTCTCCATTGATATTAACGGTGTCAATGGCTTCATTTCGAAAGAAATACGGACTGACGACTCTACCAGACCAAAAACCACACCAAACTCTTCATTTAGGTGATTGTAATGATAGTTCATGAATAATTGTGGATTTTCTTCGCACCAGAATCGACAGTTTTTTCTTATTTACCGCACCACTCAGATTAAAGAGAAGATGACTTTCTTAAAAGTTATCGATGTCGTTGGCAAGTTGTTTCAACTCAAAATTTCATGACATTTACGGCAGTTCAATAGCTTCAGTTTTTGAGTCAGAAACATTGTATATGAATACTAACCCAATGATCTTCGTTCGTCAGGAGAGAACTTTACTTCGCCATGGCCTACTCAGTCCGAAGTAGCACCTGTTGGCAATTTCTGTTATTCTGCGTTAGTTTTCGAGGTTGACATTATTGTCGGTGTTGATATTGTTTTCAAGATAGACGAAATTATCTACGACTTCGAAGTTATGAATGTCAACAGTAATGTGGCAGCCAAGTCGACAGTGTGACCACTGGTGCAACTTGTATTTTTTTCTTCAACAATAGATTGAAGAAGTCAAACGATAGGGACTGCCCTTGAAACCTCGCTTGGTATCGAAGGGTTCGGAGAGGTCATTCCTGATCCTGTCGAAACTTCTGTTGCTCAACGTCAACCTCATCATCGGGCAATGGTATATCTGCTCCGTCGTCATCGATTTGGGAATCGGTTTCGCCATTTCTAGATGAATCTTCTGCCGTTCCGCAGGTTTGTGAAGTGTTCACTCCATCATTTCAGTATGCTCTGGGCACGAGTCACTACATTACCTCTTTGGGCCCTACAAGAGCACGCTTCGGTCTTCATACCTTCGGTTAGTCGTCGCATCTTTAGAATTTTGAACAATGCCCCTGTCGCTTTCCTCTTCAACTCTCGGTATCTAAGTCATCCTAGTGTCATATGATCCCTATCGGAAACCCCATCAGTGTATACTAGTACCTCAGTTTTTGAGATATCGATATCTATTTTTGCACACGTCCTTTTCTCCCTGAGAAGCTGCTCTTTGGTCCGAATCGACTATGGCATAAAGTGGCCATACAAACTGAACGATCAAAATCGTGTAATTGTATAGAAAAGCTTTTGCTCGAACAATTGTTACAGCTACGATACAATATCTGAATGAATTTTTTAGATCAACCTTCTATAGGATATACCTCCCATACTAACCGATCAAAATTCAGTTCCTCTACGGAAAATTTTTTTATATCAGAAGTTATTTTCATGAAATTGGGCGAGGATTATTTTCCAAGGCAACGGTGTTATGTCCGAGGATATAGTTCAGTTCTTTTAGATTAAAAAAGCTGTTTGAAGTAATAGCCGATCAATAACGGTCATAACTGTACTCTCGTATAATACATAAAACACAGTTTCGTCAAACCCTAGAGAGTGCCGTATCCAACGAACAAATGACATCGTATAAATGGACCAGCACAATCAAATAGAGATAGAAAAAGAAGATGTTAAAAAGATAATTGAATGAATAACTGTGTTGTTACTTGCACATTTAATTGTTCAACTAAGGAGCTTCAATAATTGACATACATCACACATTAAGTTTTCACTTTATTAACATTGAATTTTAATTATTTTTATAAACGAGTCAGCATTAATTAAAACAACATCTCGAGTCACTTGATCAATTAAACTAAAATATATTTTTGTACTTATTAAATGTGCAACATTCCGTGAATATTAAATTGTATACGTTTATATGTATGTATATGTTTAGGGTAACTACCATATGCTACGTCTCGAGAGATGACGCCATCCCTTCCACCTACAAAATTCACCTACTTATTGTATTTTCGGCACCACGAAGTTTTTTGTACTCGTCGTCGGTAAACATGTCTCCCGCTGTTGTTGTCTGTCGTTAGAAGTGATTGTTACTGCTTGATTATTGTAGTAATGCAACTTTGGCGCCAACTATTTCATAAACTGTACACATAGTATATATGTACCTATATATAGTAATTATATTGTGAAAATAAGACCATTAGAACCGTAAGTATGAGTTTTGTTAACAATTCGCTTATATCCTATAGGGATATCGCCTGTAACCAGCTCAAATAATAATATAATATAATATACTAATTTTGCAAAATAGTAAATTTGAGCTTCTGCGAGATCCGTCTGGGCCAGAGTAGTAGTTTTTACCAGACTTTTTTATAGCCAATCATCAAAAAACAAAAAAAAACAATGGAAAGAAGGTGAGGTGGAAACATCCAGGTACTTTCTTTTACATTGTCCAGACTTTGCAAGACTGAGGTTGAAACATCTAGGCAGGTATATCTTCGGCGAAACAGGAAGCATATCCGAAACTGTCAATACTCGTCTCAATTTCGTCAATTTATGAGAGTCTTTATGATGAAAGGTAACCCAAAGGACTGGTTATATGCTTTGTAAGTGAAATCCCATTTAGGATCGACCTTTTAATCTTAGTCAACCTAACGTTTCTGCTTAAACCTATTTTCGATAAAATTCCTATTGATGTCAGCCGTCGATTAGTTTTTTTTTTGCTATGAAAGAGAGAAATCATAAGATTTTCGCGCTAGCTAAGTAAAAGTGTTTTTCCCTCCATAACACTTTGTAACTGCAGGCACTTTTGTCATTGAGGAGCATGCATTTAGGCCACTCGCCTACAAGACTAATGTGTCATATGCAAATATTTATTTTTTGTCTTATCAAAACCAATTAAATCAATTACACATAGGCATTCGAGAAAATGCATTGAATATATACTCGACTCCTCTTGATTTCTTGGCAATTCACTCATCGTAAAACTTTGTAATTTAATTTAATTTAAAAACATATTTTGCATTTTATCACCAAACCACATGCAAATAATATATTTATGGTACATATAAGTAGGTAGTATAACCAGTATCTACATATTTTATCACAGAAGATGACGCCACCACTTCAAACCGAAATCTTCACTTACTTTCTTTTTATATTTTTGACGATACGAAATTATTTGCAATCTTCCGACGACACGTCGTTGCTTGTTGGCACTCAGAACTACATTGAGGAATCGTCAACACATTTTTCTTTCAGCGTGCCAATGTAGCCACACACATGTCTATGTATACAGCTGCGGTCAAATTCTTAGTAATGTGCAAAAACGTAGAAGGAATTATTAAATAAAAAAAGGATGCGATATCGTCTTTAAAAAATATATATAGTATATATTTTATCATAAAAGACTTAACAGTAAGTGAAACAAATCAC